GGGCCCTCGCTCCCTAGCTGCCGTGGCCGGGGATGGGCAGCTCGTCTCCTCGCCTTTGCTTCGCTGCCAGGGTGGTCTGAGGGGATGCTTTCCCCTGATGGCAGTTAGGACACATGCATCTCTTCAATGCCAGCTGGCCGAGGAAGAAAAAACCGTGTGTTTTTTATTAAGGTACAGGAGGACGTTACTATGTTTCAGTCCTGCCTGCCTTGTTCTCGGTGTAGCTTGGCTGTGAAGTCCTGTTGTCACTAGTTACACGCTTCTCAGTACCCTTTAAGAAAGTACGTGAGGTTATTTTCTTAGTCAATATTGGGAAGGAAATGTGAATTTGCCTTTTTCCAAGTGGGTTTGAAAGCTTGGGAGAATAGAAACGAAATGCAGTGTGTGATACTGTTTCCATTAATAGTCAAGATAATTTGGGTGGTGGAGTTTAATGACATGAAACAGCTGATAACCTGTGACGTACATGAGGCTTGTGGTTGCTTTTTACATCCATGAGTTGGAATGGCAGGGGTTTAGCAAGGAATGAGTGAAAGCTGAACAGGCAGCGGTTTGTCACTGACACTGAGCCCTGACCTGCCACTTAAGTGCTGTCAGTGAGAACTGGGTATCTGCACATTCAGATTCTGGCAAACCTGATCAACCATATGGATGCTTGTTCATTTTGATAAACAACCTGACTTCTTGGTTACCAGTAATCACTTAAGTATGGTAGCTTGTTCTAGTTGATGTTTTTTTGGCTACTGTGGTAAAGACATTTATTTAGGTTGAGCTTGTACAGTGACCTGAACAAAAAGCTGGGGTATCTTCGCCATCCAATTTATTTAAAACAGGGAAGAAACAATCCATATAAACAAATTAGATGGGAGCTTTGATTCTTCTTGTGGCATAGCATAAGAAGAAATGCTAATGATTGCTACATTTTTGTGTGTTATAAATCTCACACATGAAAATTCTCATTTACTGAAATACTGTGATAGAATCGAATCATTTGTGTGCTGTGATTGACTATGCTTATGATACAATCAATGCTTTTAATTGGAGCGTTAATCTGTTATTAACACATTATTCTATAGTGTAATGTTTTGTATAATGTTTCGCTTTACTTAGTTCATCTTCTTTGCTTTACGTGTAAGTAGTCTAAGATTAATGTAAAGCTAAGTGCTTCTAAGAATCCTAAATGTTCTTCCCGTAAAGATCAACCTGTTAAGTACTGCAAGCTTATACTTCTGTAGGGACTTACTCTATGTTAGCCTTTCCTTTTAAAAAATCTAAACATAGTAGCAGTACACAGCTATTCTACATTTAAAATTTTGTTCTTGAAGTTTCATTAAATTTAAAAATAAAGTTTCTCATGACGACTTTTCCATGAGGAATATGTTCACATACAGCTTTTCTGGCACTAGCACCTTTCTTACTTCCAAACCAAGTAATCCTAATGCAGGTTTCTTAAATGAACAGTGTTGATTATGGTAAGCTACATTAACCTTGTTCAGACACTTCTGGATGTCTGTATTATCCTAGAAGCAAGGAGTATGGACTTTGCTCCTTTCTGAAGAAAGTATGTATTTTACTTCAGGGCTGGCTTGCTCTTGGGTACATGATTAGAACAGACACTGCAAAGCACTGCAAGAGCTCTTGTTGTCAGAACTGACAAAGTTGAAATTAACAGTTATTTGCAGAGCCTTTTGGTGAAATGATGTTTCTGTGTGCCCATTCACACTCTGAATGGCTGTATGACAAGAAGTGTTTGAGTCAGCATGTTTTCTTATTGTAACCTTGGAATTTTGGCCCCTTCCTTAGCATTAATGAGTCTGGTTGGGAAGAAAAATAAAGGTAAGCGAAGTGAAAAGTGTCCTGCTGTTATGGAGTTTTAGCTAAGAAACTCCAAGCCAGTTTTGATCTCCAGATCATCCCTCTTTGTCCTAGGGGGACCTGTCCATAGCAGGTGATGTCCTCTACTAGTAGGACTCTCATTTTTGGAAGCTTTGTGTGCTTCCTGGCACTCAGGTGAGAGAAACAGATTAACGTGCTGCGACTTACCATCAAGATTTTGAGTACTTCTCTGCTTTGCTCAGCTGTTCCTTAAAGTCAGGGACATCCTTCTGAGATGGGTTGACTCTTGGGTCAAGAAATTCAGCTACTGATCTCTCTGTAAAATATTGGAGAGTATCAGAATGCCTTCACAGATTTGCAAGGCTTTGATTTTTCAGCCAGAAAGAGACAGTTTTTCCCCTGGCTCTCCTTGCAGTGGCAGTGAGTAACTGTTAAGAGTTTGATATAGCTTGGGATGGGTAAATCCTTTTCCTTTGGCTTCATAATGCCATCAAAGCCCACTTAGCATGGGACGTCCCTTGATTATTGAGATTTTTCTTTGATAAGTTAACTTACCTTTTTTTTCCCCCCTCCTCCCCCTTTCCATACCTTCTGATTGCCCTACCTGATTTCTGAGGTATGTCTTTGCCTCTAATAATTAGGGTATTTTGGAGAAGGCTTTTGGTGATCAGCTTTGGGTGCTGCATTTTCTCAGATGTCTCAGAACTGTCTACTTCAGCTTCTGTCATAGACTATATCTTAGCTTAGGCTATGTCTTAGCTTTGATGATGGAAAAGTTGATCACTAAACTCTAAAATGACCTTTACACCCTGCTGTCTCTTAGGATTGACCAGAAATAGTAGATTCCAGATGGATGAAACAAGCTATGACATGCCTACTCCAGGCTTTAATTTTTGTTTTGGTTACAGTGAATTCTGAAAAGATTGGCCAAAAAGAGTAGAGGCATTTGCAGTCTTGCTCATGTGTTCTTCCTTTGTTCTGTCCAGGAGTCTTTTTGCACTTGGTATTAGCTAGCTATTTAGTTGTTGCAGCTAGGTTACAAGATTTTTAAAAAAATTTTTTTAGAGAGATTGTTTATTTTCCAGTGGGCTTGGGGATGATTTTCCGTGATTGTAGATTGCATACAGCCACTAGGTAGCATTTTATGTATTTCATGGTGCTTCCATGGTGTTGGATGGTCAGAAGGCTTTCAAGCATGGCCCTTTACTGAAGCATGTGAACTGAGTTATGTAATTTATCATTTGATAAATTTGATAAAAGTCTCCTCAATTTGTTGCTAGAACGGATGCTGCTTGTCTCTGTACCTGGATAGAGGATGCCTGTATAGGTGTCAGTCCTCCTTGTGGACTTTATTAGTTATTATTAGGACTGATTCTGAGTTAAAGTTTCAAATAAAATTCATTTTGGGGAACACGCCGATTGCTGGAAAGCTAATCTTTCATATTTCTTGGATCAGCCTCTTGCCCTTTGGGACAATTTGTATCCTTTGCAGTGAGGTCCAGCGATAGAGTTATTTTTATGTCATGCTAATCAAAACGGACAGCAATGTATTGAAATGGTGTTGTGGTTCCACCTCTCTAGTGAGGTATGTTTAGGTTCATACTCACACTTTTTTTGTTGTTCTGCTTGAAAAAAAGAAAAAATCATCCTAGACACTTGCCAGGTGCTCCATTTGGCTCATCTAATACTGTGTTGTCATGGAGCTATTAAAAAATTACATTTGCTTTCAGTGATGTTTTTCTGCAATATAGTTGCTTGTCTGAGGGACTTGGAAACCTGTCTTCAGGCAGTTGAACAAGTGCAAGCAGTACCTCACACGTCCACAGAGTTCGACTGTATGCATGAATAGTTTGCTTGAACGCTTACGGAGATGTCATCCGCGTTACAGAATTGCTTCCCACCTGTTTTCTCTTTTTTATCCTATAAATTGGGATTACAGATTGAGAGAATTAAGAAGAACAAGGCATGTGCTTTCACTTGTGTTGGAATAGGATGAGGTATTTGGGCTTCAGTCTTGGCTGTTTGTGATGCACAATCATCGAAAGTGTGAACGTGCTTACAAACAGTGCACCATAAAGAAGTCCAGTTGCTTTTAAGCAGCATCTTTTTTGTGTTTTCAGTAGTAGCCATTCCTAAGTAAAGGTCAGTCCTTTAAATCACATATTTGTGTACAATTTACTATATGGATAAATGTCTTCCTGAATTTCAGAATTAATGCTAATTATTGGTATTTTTCTAGGTAACTTGGGAGATCGGGCATGTCTTAGCTGTACATCCCTGAGGCTGGCAAACAAAATGTGAGTAAATATGAACTTTTTTTCTAAACTCAAAACTGTACAAAACCATCAGTTAGTATACTACCATAGAATGTAGGTTTAAATCTTCTAGACAAAGTGTGAAAATATTAGCTTCAGCTTATGTTATTGATAGATTAAAGGAAGTCTGAGTATTGCTCTCTTCACCTGCTTGGTTGTGTGTGGAGAAGGAAAGTGAGATCTTCCTTTTTTCGCCCACTTCCTCCCTTTTTGTTGCACTTACGATGTGAAAGCAATACAATATTAATCTTGTTCTTGAGTGACATTCCAGTTCTGATTCCAGGTGACATCACGGGATATCATGGGCTTCTTGCATACTTTCTCTGTGGAGTTCCATAGAGTAAACATTCAGTCAAAGCTGGTTTGAAAAACATAGTTGACAGTTAAGAATGTAGATCATTTGAGTTGTATCTTTATTAAACCAAAGTAGTTTAATGTATATTACAGCCTTGGGTGAGGCTCTCCTAGGAGATGGTGTCCTCTTCTGAAAATGAATCCAGCTGCTGTGTGCTCTTACAGAACTTAAGGAGTTGGATGTTGGCAGAAACCATTCTCTGTTCCTGACTTGGCTCACAAGGCGTACTTGTGGATATGAATTTCCTAACGCCTTTCCTTGGAATGTTAAAATATGTGTTCTCTAGTTTATTTACAGTCTAACTGCTCAGGAAACAGTGACTATTCTTCAGTTTCCTAAGTTTCCATTTTAACATAAGGATGTGTCTCTAGACATGGCCCTCTGATAAGAAACAAAGTAATTCCTTTCTTTTTTAGTCATGTTAGTTCTATATCACTTACTGTATAATTAATTATGAGAGGGTTTTTTTAATACATAAAATAATAAAGCATTTTAAAATCTCTGTTTTCTTTTTAGTAGATTATTATATGGGGCCTCTCTTTTGAAAAAATGGAAACTTACAGTTTTAAGTCTGTTATATGAGCAGCAGAATATTGGACGGAAATTCTTGTTATTCTTTTGAGAAGGTTTTTTTTTTACCAAAAGCTGCTGTTAATATAATGTTGCTGCATAAAATAAAACAAACTAGTGCCCATGCCCCACATGACCCAGATCCAGAAGCAAGGGACTTTAATGATACAAGTACTGAGGACAGCTTGGGAGAGAAGTTCTATGTTTGACATCCTCCTAGTGAAAGTGTGTTCAAAGAGGCACATTTCCGGTGAAATTTTTTTTCTCTGCAGATTCAGAACGAGTTCTGCTGGCAGAGCTCCCTTCCTCTCTGCATACAGAAGAATGTAGATGTATGTAGGTGGAACTTGGTTTGTAGGCCTGGAGCTCTGCTTTTGGGAAATGACTTAGAGTTAGGATGGATTGATTTATGCGAGTGTTTTAATGTGGTTTTGAATATGTACTTTATTTTCTTAAAGGAACCATAATTCTCATTCGTTAATATCTGTGCAAGTGTGTAGTTTTCTAGTTAATAAAGAAAATGTTTTGTGTAGCAGTCATCTGACCAGTGGATGGTCAGATGCTTAAAACTTTAGTTTAAGCTAGAAAATAATCATGTGTCTTTAAAAAATAATACTTCAGTAAATTTTGTTGCATAAAGCTCTATTTGAATAACATTAAATGGATAAAACCATTGAAGTAATTTAAAATTCATTGGATGCATGTGATAAGTTTATAAAGTACTTCTGGCTGAAAATTGAGTGAGTGAGGCTAATACTTACACGTGTTCAATAAACCTTTTTTTTTCCTTAAAGTGTTACTCAGCTGTAGAGCCACTTGCACCTATTTTCTGCTCATTGACTGAAGACAAATACACATTCTGATTTTGTTTTGGTAGTACAAGGGCTCAGTGAAGAAACACCCCAGTCATTTCTGTCCTGTAGATGACTTAATGCTTGCATTTCAGTTTGAGAGACACCTAATGGAACTCATTTATATAAAATATTTTATCTACTATTTTAAGTTTGTCATATCCTTTTATAAAAGTATGTACAATCCTACTTTAATGAGTAGTGCTTCTGTGTGTATAATGAGTGTTTGGGATGTTTGAGCAATGCTTTCCTTTTAACTTCAGTTTACATTTAATTAAAGAACAGAATTCTGAGTAAGATAGAAGAGTGTTGGTTCTGTGTGCCCCAGCTCAGTACCATGATGGAAGTTTGTGCATAAAGTTTCTGCTGAAAAAGGAAAACTAGATGCATGGAGTTAGTAAAAGAGGAACTCTAATGAAATCGGATTTCTCTGATATGAATTTCTTCCTCTAACTCAGCACCTGTCCCAAGTCTACAGCTTGTATTTTTTCCTCGACTGTTTTGTTCAAACAGGAGAAGTAATAGAAGGGGCTTTATGTTACTTGTGGATTTACAGATTTATTTTCAAATGTAGCTCTCTAAATGGAAAGCACTTCTGGTAGCTACTCTTCAGTAATAAAATAAGCTACCTTTTCAAAGTTGTTTAATGGAAAATTCCCTGCGGGTTATTTTTTGTCACGAAGTACAGCCAAGCGTTCATTTCAGGTATAGACATCCTGATCTTGAGAGTCACAGGTTTGGGTTTTTTTCTTAAATATGCAGTATATATTTCTCAAATGATGCATTTTATAAAAACATATCTTTATATAACTATACAAATATATATAAATAGCTTATGATCTATTGCTAATTCTTGAATGCTTTTTTTCTTCTGAAGGACTGTACACTTTAAATATTGCACTAGTGTCCCTCCTGTTTACGCATACTCCAAAAAAGATCGCTACTGTTGTTGGACTAAAGGATCTGAACAGATATACTTTACTCTTATGAGCTCTTCTGGCTCATGGACGCCACTAGCAACCATGGGTGTTTTAGGTCCCCAGTATCTTCCAGTTAGATGGTGGCATTCTTCACGTCCCCTTCAAGATGACTCCATAGTTGAAAAGTCACTGAAGTCCTTAAAGGACAAAAACAAGAAGTTGGAAGAAGGAGGTCCTGTATATAGTCCAACAGAAGTGGAAGTTGTGAAAAAATCTATCGGACAGAGGATTGTGGACGAACTGAAGCACTATTACCATGGTTTTCGATTACTGTGGATTGACACAAAAATAGCTGCAAGGATGCTCTGGCGCATTCTTCATGGAAACACTTTGTCTCGTCGAGAACGGAGACAGGTACTGAGTAAATACCAATTTCGTTTGAGTGTCCTTAGCAATTGCTCCATTTTATTTGAACCGAGTTGGTTCTTTCTGTTGTCTTCTGTTCCTAGAATTAAAATTGCTAGGTGTATTTCCCTCCTCCTCCCTATGTGGACACTAAAAATTTTGGATTTGACTCCAAAACATTTTAGTCTTGTTCCCCATTATTGAAGATAAATTTGGTATTTTCTAGCTGGAACAGCAGAGGATTCTTCTGTTTTGTCATGTGGACAGCAGTTGTGGTTTGTTCTCAAGTTCCCATCCATGTGCTACATGTGTGTACATAGTCACTTTCTCTGCTTTTTTACTACAGCTGGAAAAATAGAGGAAGAACACTTCCAAAAGGTTGGATTTGTGCCAATTCTGTTTTTTGGGTTTTTTTAAACAGAAAAAAAGCTGCAGGCTGTAATGCATGATTGATAATCAGATATTAGTACTATCTCAGTTACAAATATATTTGTGAGATAAGTTTAGTCCAAAGAAGATAGTTTGAGGAAAGTTTTTGGTTTATACTTTTGTTTTTCTTTATGGCATGTAGCTTACATTTATGAAACTGTGAAAACTGATAATTTTAAAGAAAACAGAAGAGGGGATGGAGATGAAATCTGGAGTGCAAAATGAGAGTGCTTTCAAATTAGGATAATATACATGCATTTCAATAGTAATTTCAGTTTGTGGATGAAGTAAATATGCTTATTCAACTAGAATTAAAAGATATATGGATATTTAAAAACATTTGATGTGAGCTCTTATATATGGAAAGACTGCAAAATAATAAGCTGTTTTAAAACTGGTATAGTTTAAAAAATTTTTTTTGAAAGAATGTGTTGGTATTCACCTTCACCAGTTCATTAGCAATATATCAAACATGCTGATTTAATAGTTCTCATTTTACTATTTTTAAAGACAAAATGTCTAAGCAGTTGATACAGATAAAATATTCAAATCTGTCTTCCTGCCTTTTAAAAAAAAAAAAGCATTGCTGGAAAAAAATGTGCTGGAAGAAATGTTGGAGAGTGAAAAGTGTATGTACTCTGGCAGCAGGCGTGAATAGTGCTGCTTGCAATCACGGTCTGGTTCTCTGCAGTTTGTGCACTGGACACGCAATGTGTTAGGTTCACATCTCTGCCTTCAAAAATTTTGTTAAATGATCAAAAATACAAATATTTGCTCATTGTTTTAATCATTTCCTGATAAAATTTGGTACGTAGTTGAACATTGTTGTGGTTTAACGCAGCAGGCAGCCAAACACCACACAGCCGCTTGCTTACTCCCCCCTCACTCCAGGGCGATGGGGGAGAGAATCGGGGAAAAAAAGTAAAATTTGTGTATTGAGATAAAGACAGTTTAATAGAACAGAAAAGGAAGAGAAAATAATAATAATAATAATAATGGTAGAATATACAAAATGAGTGATGCACAATGCAGTTGCTTACCACCCGCTGACCGATGCCCAGCCCGTCCCCAAGCAGCAATCGCCCCTCCCTGACCAACCCCCAGTTTATGTACTGAGGATGACGCCATATGGTATGGAATACCCCATTGGCCAGTTGGATCAGCTGTCCTGGCTATGCTCCCTCCCAGCTTCTTGTGCACCTGGCAGAGCATGGGAGGCTGAAAAGTCCTTAAGTATGTAAGCTTAGTGACTTAGCAACAACTAAAGCATCAGTGTGTTATTAACATTATTCTCCTACTAAATCCAAAACACAGCACTGTACCAGCTACTAGGAAGAAAATTAACTCTATCCCAGCCGAAACCAGGAAAACATTTTCACGTGTAATTAAAAACCATGACATCTTAATGCAGTGTGCAAAAGTTTTTTCCTATATTCGCAAGGTTAGCCAAATAACAAAAATTGTTAAATGCACATGTAGTAGTTTTCATCTGTGATTACATGTGGTCTCAGATGGTATGTGGTCTCAGCATCTTCATGCTACTTATTTTTGCCCTCCTCCTTATTCTGGAACAAGAGTATGTTTGGCAGCTGATCCAGCTGAAACGTTGCTCAGCAATAAATATAACAGTCTGTGCTGATGTAAGAGAGGGGATTATGTAGAGCCAAGAAAGAGTAACTGAGGATACGGAGGGAATGAGGACCGCAGGACTTCTTGAAGTGGCAGTTCTGGCTTGTGCTGGCTTATTGAGAGCTTTGGAAAACTTGGAAAACCAAGTGAGACAAATTAATTTGTGGTTTAAAACAGAATCAGAAATCCTCTGGAGGGCAAGACTGGAACCATTGGTTTTCCTGCCTGTTTCATGTTCACTGAGCCATACTTCTGAGAAATTATACAAACGCAGTAAAATATGGGTATCATGGAAATATTTCTGCTGAAAGATCAGGACTGTATTCTAGAAGCCATGAACCTTTAGAAGTAATACGTTATCTTTGGACACGCGTGCATTATTCCATCAATAGATGGATGTATTCATTTGATTGCCCTTTAGTTTCATCATCTGGTGATGATAGAGCTGTCTTTCTTATATTTACGTAGTGGTCTGGCATTTGGCCTTCCTGAGTTCTTTTTTCTGTGCAGATGTGCAATTTCAGTATCAAATCCCTTATTTTAAATAAAACAGAAATTTAATGTGCAGGTATAAATTAGTGTTTACGTTGATGTAGCCTGTCTATGATGTAAGTGTCTAGATGTAAGATCTAATGATGTATGTGCGTGTCTGTATGCGTGCAATCCAGGTAGAAGATGTAGAGAAAATAGTTTTAAGAACTACAGTAATGTTATTTTCTCAATCTAGGTTTTGTGTTTTCTTTGTATGGAGGTAGAGGACATCCTGTCTCTTGAACGGAGTTACGGTAGGCTTAGAACCCAGGGTCAGTGAAAAGCAAACCAGCCCACAGCTGAACAAAACCCTTTAGATGTGCTTTTTTTAAACTTTATTTTAAGTTTGTTTCAACACAGTTCATTTTTTATCAGTTCAGCCTTAAATTGTAGTATGCTGACTGATTTAAAGATGTCTTAAAACTTTGATGCCAGATTAGCTACAACTTTGCAAAAGTTGCTCCTGAACTTTAAAAAAAAAAAAAAAAAATTTGAAGTACATACTGCTTTAAACGGATTAAACTGCATGTGAACTGACAGTCCTAGAGAAATCTTATCTTCACGCAGACTGACAAATGAGTTATTTCTGCCTGCCCTTTCCTTCCTCTTTGGAGGCAATAATGGAAAGATATCCAAATAATCTAACCACATTAACAAGCAATTGCAGCATGGCTAATGCAAGAGAGCTATTGCTTATGTAAACCAAAAGTCGGTTCCAAAATTCTGCTTGTACAATTGCTGTTAGGGTTTGGATTCAACAGGATTACATATCTACACTTAGGAGAGAAGGCAGGAAGAAGTAAAACATGCAAAATGTGATACTGGCTGTTAAAAACTCTAGTGCTGCTTCCTACAGCAGGATGGTTCAGGACACGGAAGTGAGGTGGCAAACACTATGGAGTTTGCGGCAAGTATATCAGCTTTAGAAACTCTTCAGCCCTGCAGAGGAGGAAAAAGTGGAATGCATGAATTGTAGCAGCAGATACAGAGTAGTCACATGCTGTGCTGCTAAATAATGTGTATGTAATCATGCACTATTGTATTAGGTTCCTGTGCAAAGTTGTTTTCCTTGAGTTAGTGGAGGGTGCAGTTTCATGATTTATGTAAGCTGATCCAGGACAGTGCTGCTGTGAAAAAGCCCAGTCCTGCTCGGTGCTCAAATCATGTTTTCCAACACCTCCCCCCACCCTCTTGGTTTGTGCTGATCCTTTTTCGCTTGTCTGTGTATGTATTTATGGGTTAGTTTTAGCTGGATCAATGGTGTACCTTCACATTGTGACTGCTAGTGTGCATTCATGACTCTTTATACATTATCTCAGGTTAGCATTAGCTTAATCCAGTTGTAAAACTGCTTCGTTGGATACGGATTTTGCCTTCCACACGCTGTCTAAAAATAGATACTGGGCAGAAATAAGAACTCTGTATTGCACTCTGTAGAAATTTTTGAGGGTTTTTTTTTTTAGGGAAAATGTACTTGTTTTTCTGACTTAAAATTTTCTTCCAAACTTTCTTACATCTTTTTGAACTCTCTGGTAGTCATTTATCTTCTATTGTTGTAATGAATGAAAACATCTTTGAGCCTGTAAACAATGGACCAAAGCATCCCTTCTGGGAAACTGCATTTTTTATATACAAAGAAAAATGTCGAACTTTGGATCTGTGGAGTTCGTGCATTCCTCAGACTGTATTCAAGATTTTGGCTGGTTTTAGGCTAAGAAAATTATGGTTAAAGTTTTACTGGTTCTGTATTCTAGCAAAGCAGTCCTAGCAACGTGCAATCTATACTGGTTGTTGCTGCTGTTCCCCTGGATTGGCATGAGCTGTGGGGAGGGGATGGAGGGGGAAGCATGCGTTTATTTGTGTAAAAGCATTTATGTTGCCAGTTTTTGCCAGTCGTAGCTGTGTTTATCAAATCATGATGTTGCATGGCAGTGCTGTGGCAGTAGTGTACTGTAGTGTACGTCCGACCTTCAGCCTCTGATTTAGGAACTGGCATTAATTCCAATAACTGGTTATTTGCTTTGTAAAATGAGGTAGAGTCAAGCAAGATCTGCACTCCCTGATATAAACCAAGTTATGAAGCTTCCAACAAGTACTGAAAGATTTGATTGTAGACTGTACGGCCTAATATATACATTTTTGGGTGTACAGAAATCAGAAGGACAATATTTATTTTATGCAGTTCAAAATTCAGTAACTAATGCATCAGCCTGCTTCAAAGGATTACTGCTCTAGAAGAGCAGTGATTTGAAAAAAAAAAAAAGAATCTACCAAGCTGGGCTCATTAACCTGGATTTAAATGTGCATTACAATTGTTATGAGGCAGAGGGGGAGGGATCTTTTATTTTATTCTTGATTACTTAGTCCATAGTAGCTCATGCATGTGAGAAGTGGTGGAGCGCAAATAAAGATGAATAAAAGAAGTTAAGCAGCTTTAACGACAACAAATGACCACCTCCTGTTTTCAGGTGCTTTTAAGAGGTTTAAATGAGATACTTGTTCAATAATCCTATTGAGACACAGTAAGGCTTTTGAAATACTTTCTATAGTGTTGGAAACTGGTGAAACTCAGCACTCTGTAGTATATAGCAACTTGAAGAAAAAGATACTAAAAACTGACTTTGTCACATCCTTTTTCTGTGTTATTTTAAATTTCCTTTGTAGCAAATATATGTACGTGTGCTTGAATGATAATGTGGATGATCATGTCAAGTATTTTTTAAATTTATAAAATCTTGCTTCTCAATACATTTCTTTTTTTCTTTCTTTTTCCCCTTCCAGTTTCTTCGAATATGTGCCGATCTTTTCCGCTTGGTCCCTTTCCTAGTTTTTCTTGTTGTCCCATTTATGGAATTTTTGCTTCCGGTGGCTCTTAAGTTGTTCCCTAATATGCTTCCCTCTACATTTGAGACAAAGTCTAAAAAGGTAAGCAGGTCTGAATTTATAATCCAGTAACATGTTTTGAAAGAATTAGAACTTTCTTTGGTAAAGAAAGAAATCAGACATTGGAAAAAGAAATTTGGTATTTGGGGAATGGTTTTGTCTTTCTGTATGTTGTTTGATGATCTTGCTGTTAACATCTAATAGTGAAACAGTGCCACCCTGATTTACCTTTTTATATGTGCAGGTGCTTAGCTATCAGGGCTGTAAGCTTCTCTTGTCTTTTTCGCTATCCTTATCTCCATTTTCTATGACCCTTACCAAGCAGAAATGAAAGCTCTGAAACTCTTTTTCTAGCTTGTATTAAAATGGGCAGACTTCGTTTTAACATTTGTAGTCCTTATTCTGGATGCAAGTTTTTTTGTAGGTATACTAAATATTTAAAAACCTTCTGATACATTGTTTTGTTTAAACTTTATTTCTTTTAGTTAAGTTTTCTGGGAATTGTTTACAGCTTTGTAAAAACAAACCAAAAAGCCCCAAAAGTTTTCACTTTCAGAGCACAAAATACTTAACATGAGGTTCGTACATAGTGAGCTCCCAGTCAGTCACAGATATGATCAATCATATACTTGGATCTAAGTAACCATTCATTTCTAGTTCTGTGATAAATTCCTCTTTGTTTGGATGAGATGTAGTGTAGGATTTCTGTGCTGGGTACAAGAGTTGGGAATTACCCAAACCAAAGTTGGTTAGTTTCTATTTTTTTGTTTCTAATTCAGAAGGGTGCATGTCAGTTTTAGCAGGTGAGGCCACTCATGCTGCACTTCACTCTGTTGGCATTGCATCTCATGCTTCATTGAGCTTTGAGCTGATCAACCTATTTTTCAGTTCAGATTTGGGGATCTTTGGTAAGAGTGAATGTCCTGTTGTAATGTGTGTGTTACAGAAGAAGTTCAGAAGTACTCCACATAACTTGTCTGGGGGCAGAAGTGGCATTTAGTGTGCATATTTCTGGAAAGAACTTTTAAAACCAAGTATTTCTTTAACAGGAGGAAAGATTGAAGAAAGAATTGAGAGTAAAGCTTGAATTGGCTAAATTCCTTCAAGACACGATTGAGGAGATGGCCTTAAAAAATAAAGCAGCCAAAGGAAATGTTACAAAAGATTTTTCAACGTTCTTTCAAAAGGTAAAAATTTTAAAAAATACGTTTTCTCTTCCTACCAAAAAAATAGCTTGGTGTTTTGTTTTGTCTATGGTAATCGTCAGATACCTTTATTCTCTTGGATTTGAAGTAGCAGGATGTAATTTTTTTTTTAGGATAGATTTCTTTTTTGCATGTAATACTTAAGTGTGCTGAATTTTTACTGTTCTTAGCTTTGGTATTCTGGCTGGTACTTTCACTCTTTTTTTGATTCTAGAAGCAGTATATTTCTGCTCATTTGCTTCTCGTTCTCTTATTCTGTTAATAAGTTAATTCTAACATCAAAAAGATTATATGCTCAGTGATTACTTTTGTAGTTTTTGACCTCTTTTTTTGAACATTGGGTGTAAAAAGTGGGAGAAAGAAGTTCTTCCCTAATAAACTGATTAAAACTTAATGGGGGAAAACTAAAATTTTTTTATCAAATGTAATTCTGCTTATAAAAACAGTTTTTAAATTAACTGATTAAAACTTAATGGGGGGAAAACTAAAATTTTTTTATCAAATATAATTCTGCTTATAAAAACAGTTTTTAAATGCACGGCTGCTCTACTGCTGAAATCCTTTCGGGTACTGACTAGTGTGTGGTATAGTCTGGGGTTTTGCTAGAATGTGAGTGCTGTGTTTGGTACAAAATTTCTCTATTCGCAAGCAGTTGCTGACACAGACTAAACGTCAGATATCTGCCTCCTACGTTGATGGCCTTTAGGTTTTAGAGTGTTTCCTTTCACCAAGTTGTAGGTAAGGGTAGGTATTCCCTGGAGAGATGAAAAATACCTCAGTGTCTCCTTTCACCAAGTTGTAGGTAAGGGTAAGGTATTCCCTGGAGAGATGAAAAATACCTTCTTAAATCTTCTCAGAATAGGATTTATTTCAGTCAGAAGCTCACGCTTCTGAGTTCTCTTAATTGTGGGGTTGTTGGGTAAGAGATGGAGCCAACAACAGTCACCAGGTGCTTTGTTGAAAGTAAGAGTGTAGTCCCCTCCTTTGGGGAGAGTATGTATTTGTACAGAAAAAGGCACATAAGCCTGGGGATTTCAGACCTGAACTTTACAAGTCCTGGCAGCTAGCTTGAGCTTTTCCTGCTTGTCAGCGCTGAGAATAAAGTTTTAAAGGGTGGAGTAATAAGATCGTGTTGATTTCTGCGTAGGTTACCTCAGAAAATGATATTGGCAAGCTTTGCCATTCGGTATCTGCTTGCAGTCCATGTACTTTGAAGCTCCTATGCAATCATCTGTTTCAGTTCTTTTTCATCTGCAGAAAATTTTAAATGGTTAGTTATAGTAGTTAGTAGCTGAAGCACTGACGCTGCAGACTCTGGGAGCATGCCACAGTCATGCTTCACGCTTGGAACATTTCATTTTCTCTGAAAGAACTGCTACTGAGAATTTACATTTGGCAGTTAATTTCTGTGGAAATAAATGGCGTATCCTCCACATTTGCTGGAGGAAGTCCCAGGTTCCTCTGATGACTAAAAAGAAGTTTCGAGCCCTGCATTTCTTACATGTGGGTGTGCTTTTTGCAGCTATATTTTTCTCATTTGTGCCATGGAGACAAACTTTATTGATCTCCTTTCACTGTACTAGATAATAAATGTCAGAGCAAGAAGAAACTTAAATGTTTCCCAGTTTTTTGCTATTCTTTTATAGCTGCTTCTGCAGTGAAGTATTTGATGCTGCAAGAACCATTGATTACAGGCTTAACGTGCTTGCTGCAGAATTCCAGAATTTATCTGTGTTGCTTTGAAGCTAGTGATGTACTAGAAAGTTTCAGTTTGTACTCTCAAGAAACATATGCTTGGCTGCCAAAATTCAGCTTTAAATAAGGAAGAAAATACTTTCTGTATTTTTAAAGTTCCATTTTTGGCTCCTGTAGTGAAGGAGCTGGTGAAGTGGAACAACAAGGCCTTTGACCTTTCTTTCTCTGAGTTGGTTTCTCTGCTACACAAGTATCCTGGAGGTTAATGGACTCAAGCCCATCTTGTCTTCCAAATTTTTACCTTTTCCTGTACTCAGTAGCTGTTCACTAAAAGATTTGAGTTGGCAAGTAAAACAAGTAGGAATAATAAATCAGGCTGTATAGGTAATGTTAGGTTTTCAGACTGTACCTGATGTCACGTAGCTTATGTTTTCTTTATCGGGCTTCAAAAAAGGTAGAGAGATTGGGAAAATTGTTTTTTGGGTGTCTACGTACTTACTGTTGAGACTGAAGGTATTAAGTGACTCGGAGTACTTCATTGTTAAGTTCTATAGATTTTGCATTCAGTAATGTCACTAATAAGCATTTGATGGTATACTTAAAATAGAAAAATCAACATTTATGCAGGTTTTACTATGTTTTACTATGACCTGATGAGACTAGGGAATGGGTTTTTTTTCTGCTTCTTGGAACTGTTATTTCTGCTTCCAGTATTTGGATTTAATTACTGTGAAGTGCCATTTGACAACACATAACTTAAAGGCTTAACTTTGCATTTGTACAAGCAGTTACATAGAACCTTCCAGCAAGAAGGATGCAGAGTTCTTTCCCAAATAGTGGCTTATACTTTGGAATAACTTCAAGTACAAGTGCATTTGCATTGAGGTGCCGCAGAAAAGCTAGGAACTGGAAGCAAAATAGTATTGTAACAAATGTGGTTGTGGAGAGAATGTAGGTAGGTAAGTGTCCAAATCCGTCTTTCATAGGGACACCAATGTTGCAAAATTTTTGCCATTGGACATACTTCTTAATTTATCTTCACAGGGCGATGCTTTTAATGTGCTTTTATGTTTAGTAAGTATGGTACCAGAAAGTATACTTGCCAGTGTGACTTCTGTAGCAACTATTTGCTCAGATATACTTTTTTTTTTTGAGGTATCTCATGGCAGTGCCAACTCAGATAGACCTGCTCATTAGTACACAGATGCATCTAATTTTTGTTGTTGTTAGTTTTATCTTAAAGATATTATGCAATGTTGTTGGAAACTATCAACACCATCAATTCTTTTGCCTTTTATAGTAAATAAGCTGTTGGTTTTTTAAATTCCTTTCATGTCTTCCTTGTGTCCTATTTCTTATCCCAAAATTGATGCAAAGTACTTGACAAATGAGGAGAATATTTTTATTGTTCAAAATAATGCCCAACTGTAACATTTGCTTTGAAAAGCTGTGTGTGTGTGTGTGTTTTTTCTTACAGATCTAAATAATGCCCAACTGTACCATTTGCTTTGAAAAGCTTTGTGTGTGTGTGTGTTTTTTCTTACAGATCAGGGAAACTGGTGAAAGACCCAGTAATGAGGAGATCTTAAGGTTCTCTAAACTGTTTGAAGATGAGTTGACTCTGGACAATCTAACCAGGCCTCAGTTGGTGGCACTTTGTAAATTGTTGGAACTTCAGTCAATTGGGACAAATAATTTTCTCCGCTTCCAGCTGACTATGAGGTTGAGAAGCATAAAAGCAGATGACAAAGTGAGTCATTCTAAATAGGCACTGGTTAATAATTTTGACATGTAGGAATAATCAGTGTGTGTGGATATATGTATGTCTCTCTAGGCATTTTCCTTTTTTGTCTTAATTGTCTTATTTTTGGGCTAACTTAGAACGAAAAGGCTTGAAGAGCTTAAAAACAGAAGTGTCCTTATTTGTAAAGAAAAAGCTGACCTCTCTTTAATCTACCATTAATTGCAATGAAAGTAATTATGTTACAAAGAAAAGCATTTCTATGAAACTATAATTTGTAAGGGAGCTGATAGAAATATTAGCTTAGAGAGAGATTGACATTACCATTATGGAGCTGTTAAGACTACAGTATAATGTTCACTGTTTAAAAAGTGGAGGTTATTTTGTGTTATCACAGCAACCTCTAGTGGCCATTATAAAAATACGGGCTTCTGGATGTGCATTGATGGTTCGTCAGTTCTGAGCTGTTAAAGATGTTAAAGTTTATTTTACGCTTTGTGCAGCTGATTGCTGAAGAAGGAGTTGATAGCCTTACTGTTAAAGAACTGCAGGCAGCTTGTCGTGCCCGAGGTATGAGAGCTCTTGGCGTGACAGAGGAGCGTCTCAAGGAACAGCTTAAACAGGTATGTTTTTGCAAGACAATAGACAGACCTAACTTCAGTTGCTAGCTCTGGTTTTTGTTATGATTCTGAGAACTCATTTTGCTTCTGTTCTCATAAAAGGCTTGGCTAAAACAGCCTTTCTCCTTAATAAGCTTTTGTCATGTGTACTGTGTAAGTATGTAGTAGCAGTGGGTTTCTGGCTTTTGACTGGGCCATGATGTTTTGATGATGCAAATAGATATTTAGACTTAAACATATCTGAAATATGTTTGCAATTTTGGAAGTTTGTCTTGTTAATTATTTGTATTACTCTGTAAAGAACTCTTCTCCAAGTAGATCAGTTCTTTGTCTTTTGGTGTTGCCTGGTTTAGAGGAAGATGCATGTGAAACAAAACACTTTTTCAAATATTCATTCAATACTTCTTCAAATACTTCTTCAAACAAAATACTTCTTCATATATATCAATGCAATTGCCCTAATTCTTAGCTGCTTATAGCCTGTAGTTCCTGTGCTAGGATATTGACTGATAAGTAGTGGTAAAAAAAAAAAGTATTTACTTTTTTGTGTATGCTTGACTTGATCTGTAAAAAAAAAAAAAAAGAAAAAAATCCAAAAGTTGAAGATTTGTTTTATTATTGCATTTACAGTGGTTAGATCTGCATCTGAACCAGGAAATCCCTACTTCGTTGCTTATTTTATCGAGAGCCATGTATCTTCCAGATACCCTTTCTCCAGCTGATCAGCTCAAAACAACACTTCAGACACTACCAGAGAGTGTTGTAAGTATTGATGTACATAGTCTGTAACCAGCTTTCAGTATTATCACTGAAAATCCATTCAGACAAGTAGATGTTCTTCTTGGTTCCTTTCTTTTCCTTGAAAAGCTAAACCATGGGGAGGTTTATTTGAGTGACCTTCAAACACAGAAGAAGTTGGCTTATAGGTGGCGGTGTCTGAGAATAAAGCAAATATAAGGCAATATTTCATTGCATGACAGTAGACAGTAATAGCATAAGAAGAATAGAATTATAATACGCTTTTTACTTATATAAAAAACAATCTATGCTCTGGGCAATATAAAGACATATACATAAAAATGTTGATGTTGTTGTGTAGAAACAGAAATGATCTGAGTAGGTTATTGGTAGTCTTGAGAGAAAGAGAATGAAGAATATGTACGATTTCAGGGTGGAAAGTTCTCATTTTCAAAGAAAGAGAATAATCTTTTTCTGAGAAATGCAAAAATAGGGTAATTTGGGGGGGTTTTAACTATATCCATTAGCATACCTGTACTGCCTATCTCGATAAGGATATATAAAGTTTTTACATTATGTAGACATACATGTATATACACACATACAGACTTTTATAGACTTCTTGCATTATTTTTAGGCCAAAGAGGCTCAAGTCAAAGTGGCAGAAGTTGAAGGTGAAAAAATAGATAACAAAGCACGGCTGGAAGCAACACTTCAGGAAGAGGAAGCCATCAGAAAAGAAAACGAAGAAAAAGAGATGGAAAGATTGTCTGAAGCTGCAGAGAAAGCCAAAGAAACCCTTCAAGTTGCAGCCATGGTAAGTTCTGCTCTCAACTGTTGAGAAATGGATGTCAGTGATGTGAAAACTAGCATGTTATGAGTTGTTGCCTCTGCTCTGGGTGTTGCCTGCAAGAAACTGGACTTTAAATCCACATGTAGAAGATGTGGGATAATGTTAAAACAGACTGCAACACAGAAGGGTTCAATGAAAGTTTGTCTCAGTCTTCGATTTCTCTTTCCTCTTAGTTAGAGTAATAAGAGAAACCTTTTATTCTTCTAGCAAAGGTGGTGGTTTTGCTTGTTTTTTGATTTCCCCCACCCTGTACTTTAAATGTTCTTATCTTTGGCTCTTTCTATTTCTCATTAACCTGATAATGTCATTGTATAATACTTGACTATAAAAGCTGCTGGCCTGCTTTACTGGTGAATTAAGCCTCAGGAGCTCACAGGCATAGTTCATTAAGTGCAAGTGGGTATTTTAATGTGAAACCACTCAATATGTTGCAGTTTTTTAACGTTGTCTTCTCATAAAAATGTCTGCGTCTACTTTGGCAACTATTTCTATTTTGAGAAGTCATTCTTTAGTGATGCTAATACAGATAATGTTATCTTTGTTTTAATTAAAACTTCGTGGGGCTTTCAAATTTAGAAAGAGGTGGAATCGGCAGCAGATCTTGAAGCAGCTGCTCTGCAAGTTAAAAAAAGTCAGATGGCTATGGGTACTGAACAAGAACTGGCAAGGGCAGATGTGGCGATGCACTCGGAGACACTGAAAGATACAGCACCAGTATTGGAAGGCATTAAGGTAATCTGGATAACTATATATGTTTTTATTCTTTTTAATGTAAAGACTCAAAATATCCATGTAAGAGCCATGGTAAGTTGCCTGGCTGTTCTTCAGTTTTAACCCTCTCACCACATTCTGTCAGTTAAAAACAGCTAATTAGTTGATTGCAAACTCTTAACCACCAGTGCAGAAATTGAAGTCAACACAGTATCTCCTTTTGTCTCTCTTTTGTCTCTCTGTGTTATTAAAGCTAATATACCTGTTTTGGGGGGCATTTGCACTGGCTGTAGACGTAATGGATCTGGGTATGTTTAATCTGTGTATAGTTAACACATGAGGAGGGAGAGGGCAAGAGTAGGTAAAGGTGAGTGTCCCTTCTTTTGAAGTATGTAGCTAAGAACAAAGGATTAAGTAAGGAACTAGGTTTGGAGTAGACTGTAGATTTGCATCGACTTCCTCTTCTAAACTGATATGGGCAGCTATAAAAACTTTTTAGTGTACTCTTTCACTATTTCTTTAGTATGATGTTGAACATAACTTATACCAACGTTAAAGTAACAGGTTAATTCTAGGATTAGCATGCTTTGTTGTGATCAGAGCATGCTTTGTTACAGTCAGAGCATGCTATCTTTAATCATTTGCTACCTGGCTGACCTGTAGCTCCACAGATTCTCCTCCTTGCCCTTACTGAAGATAGGAGTGACATCTGCTTTCTTCCAGTCCTCAGGAATCTTCCCTGATGACCATGTCCTTTCAAAGATAATGGAGAGTGGCCTCTCAATGACATCAAACAACTCCCTCAGCACTTGTGGTTGTATCCCATTAAGTCTCATGGACTTGCGTGTGTTCAGTTTGTTTAAATGTTCTCTAACCTGATCCTCCTCCGCTGATGGTAGATCTTCCTTGCTCCAGACTTCCCCATTGGTCTCAAAGACCTGGATTCCTGAAGGCCAGTCTTATCAGTAAAGACTGAGGAAGACATTGACTACCTCTGCCTTTTACATGGCCTTTTGCATCAGGTTCCTTGTCCCATTCAGCAGCAGGCCCACGTTTTCTCTTGTCTTCCTTTTGCTCGCAATGTACTTGTAGCCCTGTATGTTAGGAAGTGTTTTGACTGTCTAGAGCTTGATGATGGTGATGATAGGGTTGAGTGTTTTTGGGTAAGGATCAGGGGGAAGGTCAACAAGACAGATATCATGGGAGGCTGTTACAGACCATCCAACCAGGATGAAGAGGCAGAAAAGATACTCTATAAGTGGCTGGGAGAAGTCTCACAATCGCTTGTTCTCATGGGGGACTTCAACTTACCAAATGTCTGCTGAAAAGACAATACAGCAGAGAGGAAACAGTCGAGGAGGTTCCTGGAGTGTGTGGAAGATAACTTCCTGACACAGCTGGTGAGTGAGCCAGCTAGGGAAGGTTGTCGCGAATTACTGGTTTAGGATCCTGCTGACTATGCCAATTTGTCACGAATGAGTCGTTTTGAAGCCGCTTAAAGAATTACTGGCAAAGGTATCAG